CCCCAAAACCCCAAAACCCCAAAACCCCAAAACCCCTATTTTCTAACTGGCTATAGAATAAATAAAATGTTATTTTACAAACCGGAGTCTTACATTTTACCAAAAGAGTGAGTATAACTGATTAATAGATAGAGAGAACACTCAGCCAGCACCTCTCGGAAGGACTATAAATCCTACTAAAGGAGAAGCTGGGAATCCAGCAATTCCTCCAACAAGACAGCATGCTATTATGAGGAGAGGACCGAGTAACGAAGTCAAGCCTCGATTCTTAAGAGACTCTTTGGCTAATAAAGTAGGAAAAATTTCTCTCAATTCTCATAATTCTTTAGGATATTATTGGAGCCCAGCCCAAGAAATTGTATGAGGGAAGGACCAAAGACAGTATGTCTAACGGAGATATTGAGGGATCAAGCCCTATGAAATTAAAAGTACTAGAATTAATTAACTCAAATAGGCAAGGAATCTGAGTGAATATAACATTTTTGATTACAACGATGTAAACTTTAAACCAAGCGCCAGAGCAAGGAGGGTTCCGCCTTCTATACCAACTCTGAAGGTAAAAAGGCCAAATGGTGAGAGCTTCAACATGGACACTAATGGAGATCACCTGATGAGGTCTGCGAAATCAACAAGGCTCGACCCTTATCACATGAGTCATTACAGAGTCAATAAGATGACTGATAGTACTTACTCTCATTTCTCTCCAAAGGCAAAGTTCCAAAGGTTAGGAGAAATGATCCAGAGCCAAAGCGATATGAGATATAAGCCCATCGGTATTCTTAACATTTTAAATTTTACAGAAAAACCTCAGAATGGTAGTATGATTAGTAGGAATAAAGCTGAAGCTTTTGATAAAAGAGGGGCTCCTGAGATAGGAGGAAAGCTAAGTAAGACAAATTTTATTCTATACCATGTATCTAAAATTTCTAAATAGATCAATCTGTAGCTTTACCCAGTACGAACGATGCGTTTAATGATCCTTCTAACAAATTTTGCAGAAATTATGCTATGAGAGAGAAGCCTGCTCCTTCAGGATTTCAGAGGTATCGCAATATGAATTCCTCAATGACACCTGAGAAGCTAGCAGCTAGACCTATAGATCATATGAAGATTGATGTGGGTAGCCCACATGGGCTTCCGCCCTCTATCCAAACTTTCAACAGAAGAGGTAAATTTTACTAGAGAAGACCATAAGATTTCAATAAACAGTACCAAAAGGGGTTTTGGGGTTTTGGGGTTTTGGGGG